TCCCTGACCTTTAAAACCTATTCTGAATCGGGGGGAGGGTTTCGAGGCTCCAAATACCCTTGGAGCATAGTAAGAGCAAGAGCAAGGGAGCATCAGCAAGAGCAGCAAGAGCAAAGCAAAAGCAAGGGCTGGAGCAAGAGCAAGGAGCTAAAGCGGGAGCAACAGCAGCAGGGGCAAGAGACGCAGCAGAAGCAGGAGCAAAAGCAAGCGGGAAGCTAGACTCAGAGCAGGAGCAAGAGCACGTCCCCTAAAAATACACCCGAATGATAAAAAAAAACACTTTCCGAGTACGTACAGTACCGGGGGGTTTAATATTAGGGGGATAAGATTACTATAATATGATGTACAAAATTACCATATACATGATATATGTAGTAGTAATAGTATATGTAAGGAACTTAATGTATGTAATATATATATATAAATATATATATATATATAACCAACGCAGGGTTCGGGATGGAGCCGTCCACGAGCGGACTTGCATTGCGTGTAGCCCCAGAACTCCCATCGCTGTCCCGCTGTTCACGGGGTTCGCCATGAGCCAGCTTGCCCTAACCTCCCAGGTACCTACTATGTAGGGCCCTAGGGGCTCTAGTACCCTATATAGTAGGTACCTGGTGAGGTTAGGCTTGATCTGCATGCACGTGTTATGGCAGTGCTTTCAGGTTTGGAGGACACTGAGGAGAGCATTGCGAGAAGCACTAGAGAGTCGTGTTTGCCGCTAGTTTGCGGGATCAGAAGTGCGAGATTCGACATCATGCTGAAAGTGCCGTCTGATGGAGCGTGCTTTGCACGAGAGTCGGCCCAGCACGCAGCTAAGATTGCGCAGTTGAAAACAATCCGTGCGTTGGCGTTTGGCAGCCTCTTCCTCATGCTGATCGTGGAAGGCGCCTGTTCGCGGAGTCCGAGTGGCATGACGACGTGAATACTGTGCAGCAATGGCGTGGGGAGTGGGAACCAATCAGTCGGAGGGCATGGGAACAGTCGAAGGCCATCCCTAGCATGGATTTGGGCGTTTTCTACTGTGCCGATCTTGGCATGAGCATGCACAGTGGAGTTCATGTGTATGCCCGCCCCGGTAGAGTGGTGAACTTGTCCTGTTTCTACAGAGGTTTGTTTTCACGCTACGTTGCAACCAGACCTCTGGAGGCAAACGGCTAGAGGTCGACACAGCGCCAGGCCAAACGAGGTTGTCGAGCGCGGACGACGAACAACTGGACCCTTACGGCGTTGCCTTCAACTTGGGAGTATTCGTGCATACTCCGTGCATCGCCCGGTGCTGCAGTACCTTCCTGTCTGGATGCTGCCATTTAATCAGACTGCCGGCGGCATTGATTTATGGGGATGCGTCACTGCCGCATTTGGAAATAAACCCTATAAACCCTAAACCCCTTTTGCAACTAAACCCTGAACCCTAAACCGTTGAACACGGCCGAAAATCTGCACATACTGAGCTGTCGTGGTAGTTCATGGAGCCCAGGTTGGCAGTTTTCGTAACTCCTTAGGTTTTGTTCTTGAGAATGTTCTCTTGAGGAGACGGCTTTTCGGACCAAAGGTGTGGCCGGGTACATCTTCTCATGACCTCATTCCTCTCATCATTATGTTCCCTACTGTAGCAGATTTCTGCGCCGCAGACCGTCTGCCAGCGCATACTGCCAGAGGACTGGACCTGCAGACTGCTGTTGCCCTTGAACACGGTGCAATTTTCAACTACCTGCTCGTTCCTACTTTTTCTTTAAGTAGGTGCATGCCAACGGGCTGCAACCGCAAGCGGATCCTACGCCCGAAATGAGCGAATGAGCGATGTGTAATGTATGTAACATATGTAACATAAACATAATCAAATGCCAAGAAAACACAGTGTGCATATATATGTATATATATATATACATGTACACACATATCTATACATATTATCCATTAATGAGACGAAGCCTCTAGATTCTAGATCCATAGAAAGCTGGAAAACCCCTAAAGCTGAGCCCAGGCTGCGGTTCAGCAGCTTCCTCCGCCCGAAGGAATCCCCAGCTTGGTCCTTGGGATTTGGGGGCTTTTGTGACGTGGCTTGGGGCTTGGGGTTTAGAGTTGTTTAGGCTTTGTATGCAAGTTAGGATTCAGGGTTTTAGAGATAGGCGCGGGGAGTGGTTTCTGACCCCTGTCTTCTTTTGCTGACACTGCTTTGGGCTTCAACTCCGGACGGAAGGTGGCACACCTGGATTTAGCAGCAGCAGAAGCAGTCGCAGCCACGACACCTGTGGAGAGTAATTGTATGGAAATTGAATAAGGTCATGATGCCGAAGCGTTGCTGGAGATGCTACCACATGCCGCTCTTGGCGCCAGGCTTTGCGACGCGGATGACTCGAGGATGGGACTCTCCGCGCTATGGCTTATGGTGTTTTGTTGGGGGGGTTGGGTTGTGATGATTTCAAAGACCGCCAGCCCCTGAAACCCTGAACCCGAAACATAGGCCAGGGGTTCGGGAAGCTGGAAGGTTATGCTGTCGTCCACAAAGGGACGACGGCTTCGTCGCACTGCTGCCCTCAACGAGAAAAACAGGCTAAAGTTCCCCAAACCCCTCGCCTTCCGGTTCCACGTGCACGCGATGACAGTTCTTACAACAAACCCAAAGGTGCCCAGCTCTGACGTGAAAAGGCCCTTGTATGGAGTCTGAATACGGCATCGCGTGAGGCTTGACATTCAACGAGTTCAACATGAAACTTCAAACAACGGCAGTGGGGGAAATGCTCATTTGGGACTACATCGGGGACAATGTGGGCCAAGATCGGCTGACCTGGCCAAAGGCGCGGCACGAATGAGCTCCTTCTGAATGTCGCGGATAAGCAATGTTGCAGCCATGTCCCCAGAAACATACCTCGACCAATGCAAGCGCTCATGAAACAATCTCATATGTCCTATGAAAGCATGGGAAGCATTGCAAAGAACCTCTGCTTCGCGCTTCAACTCCTTGGAAGTCTGAGTGGCTCACACTAGGAAACGGGGCCGGGATTGTGTGGAACTCTTCTACAAGCACTACCCTCAGACTTCATTGAAACGTGGCTGCACCATGCTGCAAATAAGAGTGGTCGATTCAACTTGCCTGTAGGCTTGTAACGACATTCCCGTGAAGATCGCCAGGCACTGAGGCTAATTATAATAGCAATAATAATAATAATAGTAAAAAATAACTAATGCGATGCATATTAAATACAAATATGAAGGCGACGAAAAGAGCTCGCTTCAACCAAGAGGTTGTAATGGCATCAAAGACGCAGTGCCTAAGCCCTGTTTATCTTCAGTGTGATGTCACTCGGCTTTTCGGGAGGAGACCACATACCTCACACCATGAAACCACCCGTCAGCCCGGTCACTCTAACTGGTCGTAGACGTCCCCAAGTACGTCATCCTTGGTGTCGCCCTCCTGAGCCACATCCGCCGGAAAAACACATGAGCATGTCACCGGGAAAAGTGGCGCAGGCATTGAGAGCCGCCTATCCATGTTGCCACCAAGAGGAAATGCCCAGAGAGTCAAAAGCGAGGGCACTCGAAATCTGGCAAGCCCAGCAAAGTTTGATTCAAGCCTGAAGCATAAGATTCAGCGTTGCTGATACTAGCAACTACACGCAACGCCCGCCGAGAAATGGGCAACGTAACCGTGAACGCAGCACCCCAACACCGCGTGGTACCGTCTGTCCGGAGTGTTCCCCGCCAGCGTCGTCGAACCGATCAAGTGTCTATACCAGCACATATATTACATACATACAAACAAACATGCGCATGTACAGGCAAGCATTCATACACACGAACATACACACACACACAAAGTTCCATGCATACCTACAATTTGGTATGCATGCATGCATGCATACATACATACATACATACATACATGATGCAGGGCTGCTGCCCTCCCCTCGGCTGATTGCTACCAGGTGGTGGCGTTCCCCTTTGCACTAGCTGTCACACGCGGATCATTGTATTGACACCCCTCGCCTCCCTCGTCCCGCCTCCCCTCTGCTTTGCGTGGTGGGGTTCTGTTCCGATTGGTGGTGATGACCCCACTGTCCGAAAACAACGACTGTCAAGAGGACGGCGCCTGAGCCTTGCCGCACACGCCTGGTGGCGGGGTGGCAGGGGCCGGAGACCCCTCATCATAATACATACATGAATGCATATACACCAATATATACATGCACACAAGCATCCATAAAGCCATACATACATACTCACTTTCACCCCTCGCTCACTCACGCATGCACGCACGCGCGCACACGCGCGCACGTTCCCACGCTCTTGAGAGTATACATACCTACCTAGATACCAACATGCATGAGCTTAGACATGCATGCACGCGGCAACATTTCTTGGGCCTGCCAGAAATCATCGTCGTCATCATGGTAGTGAACGCCTCAGAATTCCGGCAACGTCCAACCCCATCGAAGCCCTCTCGTTGAACTCCTGCTGAGCGCCTCGCCCACTTTCCGTGGATCGCGCGGCAAGTGGAACTCACCTTCGCCAACCCGGAACATGGATTGGCGAATGCAGAAAGGCTCTTGTAAACTAAATAGGACTAGGGGAGGGCATGGGTCAACTCTTACGGTTCTCGTACTTCGGATTTCGGATGCAAGAGGGCCCTGCATCGAATGCAGCGGCCTGAACGGATTCTGATTGCATCACTTGCTTCGGGATGGCTTTGCCGCAATGGCAGTGAATCAAAAGAACTGGACTTCATATGGAGGCTGATGGCTTCAGCATAAGTTTCATTGTTTGAAGAGCGTCTTCGACATTTTTCGACTCCAGTTGGCTGGGTTGGGGTATGTAAAAACTCCAATCCATAAGCTGAACAATGTCTCGACCCCGGCTTGCATGATTCGCTTGAAGCTTCGGGCCCTTTCACACCACGGCTGTTGAAGCTATCGGCCACCGGGCCGCCACCGTCGAAGAGGTAGGTGGCCTCGCGTAAGATATCCGACGCGCTGACGAGAAGCGCTTCTGCCTTTTCCCGGTGTGGATACCTCGAATTTTTCGGCATCATGGGTTTGGGGTCTAGGGTTTAGGGTTCATGAACAGACGCATCTTGACCAAGAGAGGGGCCTGAACAACTAGCCATGGTAATCCCGCATAGTTCCCATGCAATTCTGCGACAGTTAACCCTCAAACTCTATTCTAATGATTCTAGGCTCCTGTACTATAGAGCCCTTGGAGTTGCATGAGCTATGTCCAGTCTGGCTTCTGGGTTGGATGGGCTTGGGGTGGCAACGATCGCCAGTTGTGCCGTCGCGAAGCGAATCAGAGTTTGGAACGAGAGAACCCAGTACCTGCTCAAGCAAGTCTCCGGGAACTGAATGCCAGCCTGTCCCTCCTGAACGCTGCATTGCCGGAAGATGCCACACAGTGAATGCTAAAATAGTGCATTGGCTGGGCCCAGTTCAGGGTACCGCACCACTACTGAGAGTAGAGATCGAAGTATTGAGAATTATGGCAACGATGAAGCTGATAGTGCCGAGCTGCTGGAGCTGAATGTTGTGGTCGATGGAGTTGATCGCCACCTCAATCACTGCTACTGTCATGAGCAATGCTTCGTGACTCGTTACAGTAACTCGCACTTCTTTCCTTCGTGCTGCGGATACCACCAGCGGAACAACCACCAGGACGGCGGCGACCAAGACGGCGCAAGCTACTGGCGGCTGCTGCCGACTACTAACTATAAAGACTACTCACCACATGCCACTTACCAGGCGCAATGTACTACATACTACATACTGCATCGTACTTACCAGTCACTTCTTACTACAGCTCTCTGCTTACCGCTCGCACTGCCAAACTACAAACCAGTGGCTACTAGCTATTAATCACGGTGCTGGCGGTGGCAGGGGTGGTGGTAGGTGGGGGGGGGGGGGGGTCGGGATGGTGGGGCCGGCAGCGGGCGGGGGCGGCGCCAGTGGTGCTCATTCTGGTTGGAATTCCATCTAAGGTGGCCAAGTCTTGCTGTTCTCTAACCCCCGGCTAGGCTGTGCAGTGGGGTTGCAGGTGGACGGCTTGGTGTCGGTGCGCACCAAGGAACCGTGATCGGACTACCCTGACCATGGCTTAGAAAAAAGAATGTATAGGATTCGTGAGGTTTGCGCTAGGGCCACCGGCAGACAGCAGCGGCAAACAGGTTTCAGATCCCGAAGCAAAGACATGTTGGAGACCGAGCCCGGAGCATCAAGTCCTCAGCTCTTCAAGAGCAGCTGCGGCCCAACAGGATACATAGTTTAGGCTGCAAAAGGTTGTATGTGAGGCACCGTGAGACGGCAGTTGCTCAGTTCATTCGGTTGTGAAGCAGCCTTAAAGCTGTCATCTCTACTGTAAAGCCCTCATGCATGCGGAACACCGCAGAAGCGAGATTTGGCTTCCTGCTACCTGTTCCCAAGCTCAAAGATCGCACTCCCCAAATTCCCAACCCTTCAATCCTAAACCCCGGCAAGACCTAAACACCGAACCAGAAGGTTATAAGGCTCCACACAACCCCAATCCCACAACGGGCATTGCAAGATGGGCTTCCTCTCGCCACATGCTCCAGGGATGCGCTGGCTACGCGGGCCTTGTCGCCTGGGCCCATGCTCCAGGTGTCCACACCCTTCATGTTTTGCCTCATACCTCCGCACTCTCCTTTTGGAATTTGATTTGTTGCCATTCGTATTGGACGGTTTACAGTTTGGGGCTTTGCTGCGGGCAAATTAAAGAATAATCCTCTCTTTAGCTGTTCGTCTGGCCAAAAAGGTGAGGGACACGGATAGAGAAAGGATCGCCAACAGCTAGGCTGGATACGATTGGGAAGCTCGGAGAAAGGCGGGTTGGCTATGGAGCCGAGGGCCTTCGAGACGAGTGATGTACAAACGGACACACACCACTGGCGTCCCACTGGCATCCGATAGTTGAGTCGATGCTTCTCCTGGTCCTGAGCCTGACTTCGAGGGTCACTTCTTTTTGACTTCCGTGGATTGGTGCAGTGGCACAGTGCTCGCGACAAGGCAACATGTCCTGACAGGTACACCGGTGTACAGCCGGTTATCACACAAATCGCCCCCAGTGCTTGAACGCAGCCCCACATGGGTAGTTCTCTATTAGGGTTGATTTTACGTCCCCGAAATAGTACGGCATCCAAAAAAAACCCTTAAACGGACCCTAAAAGAATAGAGGGTTACCAACATCTTTTCAGAGGCCGTCCTCCCCGCATGGCCGAGAAACGGAAGTGCTCGGGAGTCGGGGAGATGGGCTCCTGGTCAGTTTGGGGTTCAGCGGTTAGAGTCTAGGGGTTTAGGGTTTTTCCCCAGGATTTAGGGGTTTAGGGTGTAGGGGCTTAGGGATTTTTCTCCAGGTTTTAGCGCTTGGGCTTTCAAGCTCCTGGCTTCTCGAGGAACTACGCTTCAGGGTTTCATGAAGGCTGAGCGCTACAAAAAATAAAGCTCGCGCAGGCTTTGCTAGACCTCCTAGAGGTTTATGTTGACTGCCTCGTCTGGCGCAGCCCTCAACCCGGGAATCCGGAGCTCTAAACCTTTAGGGTTTAGGGTTGTCTCAACTTCCCGACCTCGATCTATAAACCCTGAATCACGGAGAGCGTCAGCTACAAGGAAGACGAGGTCGATAAGGCCAGAGAAGCCTGGCACGGCTGGAGGCTGTAGCTTTAAACTCTAGGTCGCTAGGCTCAGGGTTTAGGGTTTAGGGTTCTTGCAAAGGGGGAACACGAAGAACCCCATGTAGCAGCAATATTTTTCCAATGATTCCGCGGCCGCAGCAAAGACAGACCAACCCACGCGAAAAAAACCCAGAATGGCCTGTCTCCCAAGACCCTAAACCCAAACCGTCAGCCGCATCAGCCGCCGCCTGAGGCTGGCCAGTATTCTTGGCTGGCCCGCGAGGCCACCTGCCCAGAACTTTCGCAACTTGGCCCTAGAACTCAATTACCCAATGCTGGTCTGGAACCCTCTGGATACATTGGCAAGTTCAAAATTCGGATAATGATCTGCGGCCGGATGCAGCGGAACTTTTCTTCGAGGCTCTATCGGAGGATGTCGTAAATCGCCCAACGCATGGAGGCCGCTCACCGCCAAGTGCCTCATGAGAAATTGCCTACGAGTTCCTCGACTTCTTCTTCGCGGGCGACCATGTTGTCCTGAAGATCTTCGACGACCTGCTTGCTGCCCTTCAGCTCCATAAAGACCTGCATGGGGGTTTGCCTTAACGTTGCGCCCCTCTACTTTATGGGTTCTCCTGGTAAGGATAATCCTCTTATACACTCCCACCTTGAGGGTGATGACATCCCGGGCCATGGCCTTGCAGTTTTCGGAGCTCGCCTGCTGCGGATCATCACACACTGCCGCTTCCCCCTGCAAGTCAATGATCTTTCGAGCTTCAAACTGCATGTCCTCGGCTGCCACCAAAATGGAGTGAACGTAGTCCTCGTGTTCCTGTGTCTCGTTTTGGCTCAGCCGGTCGCGACAATGGATGGGAAGCTCAACTTGCTCTGTCTCAGGATCATTCACACGCTCCTCCAACAACGCCAAGCCGAAGTAACTCTTGAACTTGTCCTTCCAACCCAACTCTGGTGTGGTGGTATCATCCTCGGAATCGTCGTGCGGCCAATACCACATATCCGACATATCCTCGGTTACGAAACTGGAGCTCAATCTGTCAAAGCCTAACCCTAGCTTCCCCAGCCTAAATGCTCAACCCGAAGCTCGATGGTGGTCGTCGTTGTGGTCTCTTCGGAGTCTGCATGCTCTTCGGCCGCCATGGCCGTGGTCGTTTCTTCGGAGTCTGCATGCTCTGCGGCGGTCGGGGAGGCGGCAAGGGCGGGGTCAGGGGCAGGGGCAGGGGCAGGAGCAGGTTCCATGACCGTCTCTTCGGAGTGTGCATTCTCTTGGCTCTCCATGGCCGTGGTAGTCCCTTCTGAGTAGGGATGTGTTTCGCTCTTCTCGGTCGTGGTGGTCTTTTCGACGGCACTCCCTCCGGTCTCGACGGTGTTGGTAGCGCCTGCCTCCGTGGTGCTGGGAGTGGCAGTCGCTGCGGTCGGTCTGGTCGTTGTGGTCGTTGTAGCAGGACTGGAATTGTCTGGAAGGAAACCCTGGTTGCCTCCAGTTGTGGTCGTGGTGGTCGGTGAAGTCCTTCTGGTGGTTGTGGTCGCTGTGCTCGGTGCAGTCTTCGGCGACCTCTGCATCGGCCTTGAGATGAAAAGCGGGAAGCGGAGTTTAGGGCCCTCTCTTTTTATCTTTCTTTATCTTTCTCTTTCTCTTTCTCTTTCTCTTTCTCTTTCTCTTTCTCTTTCTCTTTCTCTTTCTCTTTCTCTTTCTCTTTCTCTTTCTCTTTCTCGTTCTCGTTCTCTTTCTCTTTCTCTTTCTCTTTCTCTTTC